AATACAAGTAAAAGTAAAGCAGGAACTCGAGGACTAAGAGAGGGAAAGGAGAAGAGCTAGGAAACATGACAGTGACAAGCCATACAGTTATATGTAGAAGATGGGCAAGGCAATGATCCTGAGAATCTCCAGAAGACTTTTTTTTTTTTTTTGTGGAACCAGGGATTGAACTCAGGCCCTTGCGCTTGCCTGGGAAGCGCTTATTCCACTGAGCCATCTCCCCAGCCCCAAGATTTTTGAATCTAGCAGTTAATTGGAAAGATTCTCATCCTAACTATATATACTGATACCTGTGAACTAAGCAACTGCACTGAAGATGGTAATCTGTAATAGTAGTTTCATGCTTGGAGTGCTGGTCATTCTGGTCTTCTGAATACGGGTTGCTTCTCATGACATGCCAGTTGCTGCTGAGCTCTCAGGTAGATGATTGTTCAAAAAGAAAGGGGTAGTGAATGAAGGCAGGAGACAGGAAAAGGAATGTTGCGGGACTGTCCTGCTTCAAGGTTGTATATGGTTAGATTTTTGGACCTATGTGTAAACATAAGAATTATATAATTTGTTATGCCTATTTTTAAAATATATTCTAATTTTTAAATGTTTTTTCATCATATTCTGTAGGGACTTAAAGTTCATCTTATCAATACTTGATGAAAAATACCTGTTCCATGTTATGCCTAAGATGTTTCATATTCAGACAGATAGTGAGGTTAAGCTTAACAGCCTAGGTTGTATGGTAATAACAATAAGTTTCTTTTTTAAAAAAATTTTTAAAATTTATTTATATGGGGGGGCCAGCTCAGCCCACCAGGGGCGGGGCTGGCTGGCATGTGGTGCTGGGGGATTGAACTGCAGTCCCTGTGCTTTGCTAAGCTTGTTCTAAGTAGGTGCGTTAGACCACTGAGCCATCTCACCAGCCCCTAAGCTTCTCTTTTGGAGGGTTAACAACCTAAGTTTGCAGACCAAAAATTAGAGAAAAAGGAGGGCTGCAAGGAAAGTCAATATTTTGGCCCTAGCCTTCCAAGGTCAATTAAGACTCAGGACATATGAGAACTTGTACTGTAACGTCACATAACTGTCCCAAATTTTCTGATCAAGGAGATTATGGGGCCAAAGAGGAAAGTGATCAATGACGTAGTGTGCCTAAGGAGTCACATGGAGAGAAAACATTCTCTCAGGCTTTCACAGAGAGCACATTGGCCAAGCAATGGCCGTGACTCATCTACATAGCTGACACTGACAAAGGTTCTACAATCTGAGGCACAGGATCTCAGCATAAATCCTGAGGGTATTTCACTGACCTTATTAGACCCAAAAGCTACAACTCTTGATGCATAGGTCCTGCTTTACTTTGGTCTTAACCATCCAGCAGGGAAGTATAAAAACAAAGTATAAGAAGTAAAGCCATGCTGTTATGTTGAGCTGCAGGGGACTCAGGTCAACAATTTCTGACATTAAAACAAAACAAAACAAAACAATTTCTGACATTGCCAGTGAAGTGGAAAACCCAATACTATTATGGACTACTGGACTCTTTTAGAATATTTTGCTGAGTTTACACACCTATAATATTCAAATAACGGAACTTAAAAAAAAGAGGATACACATGAATGTCTATTTTGTGAGTATTCAAAATGGTTAGGATAGGCCGGGGAGATGGCTCAGTGGAATAAGTGCTTCCCTGGCAAGCGCAAGGGCCTGAGTTCAATCCCTGGTTCTGGGAAAAAAAAAAAAAAAAAAAGGTTAGGATAGATATATAGTTGCATTCTCTTAATGAATAGAGGGATTTGTTCGAACAGTGTTTGTAAATAGGATATCAAGTCTGCATCTTGTACAGCAATTAATCACTAGGAAGAATGTATGCAATGTATTAATTATAACTGTCCTATCAATTTGGTTTGAAACTGTCTCATTGCTATTTGTTTCTCAATAAAATTATGGGGAAAAAAAGAAAGAAAGAAAACCAAAGAACTGAGGACAGGATACATGTTTCCAGGTCATGCCTCTAGCAGCCCACCCTCCTGCCCAGACCACATCTCCAAATATGACACTTTTGGGGTAACAGTTTGGATTTAAACCTCAACATACTTCCAACTAGAGGCTGCCCTGTTGCCCTTCCCTGGTGCCCAGCCTCCCATCTGTCCCTCAGGCCCTGCCCCACCTGGTGAGGGCAGACAGCCTGCTCTACTACCTTAGTCTTATTTTTTCTTGATGTAGGCCTCCCGTGTTGGTGATCGTCCCTCTCATTCCCCTAAACTCAGTTTAGATCCCACGCCTGGGATCCTTCAGCCTCATCTTCCCTGTACCCCTACTGCAGCTGGGGCTTGTGCCTCACTGTTCCTGAGCTGAGCAGCCCTCACTCTCTGCTCTTCCACTTTATTTCTTCTCTCCCTTGTCCAGAAGCCCCTTCCCCAGCCACCATGTCCCCTTCCTTCTATATAGGGACCCACTGACCCCCTTTCTTGCATCAGAGGTGTTTACCTGGGGGTCCTCCCGCTGGTTCTGGGGAGTGCATCAGGGGAGGGTGGTCACTAGGTGTGGTCAGGAAAGCATTCTTTGCAGCTGCTAAGGGCCTTCTGGACACAGCGTGGCACAGCAGAGCCCTGGGTACAGATAGCCCTAGACCCTCTTCATGGTAGGAAGGCGCTAAGGACAGCTGCTCTGGAGCCTGAGCCCAACTGTACTGTTACTAGTCTGACTTCAAGCCTACTTCTGTTCCTCAGTTGCTTCATTTGTAAAATGAGCTGGTAACTCACAGATGGCACCACCTAGGGCACAAAGTGGAAGCCCAAGTGCCCCAGCTTGGAGATGTAAGGCCTCAGCCTTGTTGCTCAACCTCTGTGTGTCTGTTTCCCATCTGCAGGAGAAAACTGTTCCACCTTATAAACAGGCAGCAGATGAAACTCACCAACCTGTGGGCAGAGCTTGAGGCACTGGTCTGCCTGGCCCCTCCTGCTCATGTCCAGGGCACAAACCCAGAAGTATAGTCCCAAGCTGTGGGGCCACTGCATGCTGAGCATAATGTGAGTCCTACTGCCCAGTGTCCTGGCCAGAACCAGTACCACACAACACTGAAACTCATGTCACTGAGTTATGCAAGTGCATCCTGGGCATCTCTAGTCACCACTTAGGTGAAACTGTGGGCAGTTCTCCTTGGGCAAAGCACCTGTCTGTGACTTTGTTCCCAGTCTGTAGCCTTTTGCTTTTAATGATTAAGCATTAAAAACCAACCAATCAGGGGCGGGGGAGATGGCTCAGTGTAATAAGTGCTTCCCTGGCAAGCACAAGGGCCTGAGTTCAATCCCTGGTTCCGCAAAAAAAAAAAAAAAAACAAAAAAAAAAAAAAAAAAAAAGAAAAACCCAATCAGCTAACCACTATCCTTAAAGGTCCTCAATTAGTAGCTGCCCCTAGCCTGGCCCCAAGGTAGCCCTATGCCCCTGCCCCCATATCAAGGCCCAGGAGGATGCATCATTTCTGCACCCCAGAGAGGCCCACTTACCATCCATATGGGGCCAGTAGCTAGAAGGTGTCCTGCTTGTGTCTGGGTGCCAGCAAAGTACTAACATGCTGGTTATTTCTTATAAAAGATTATCCTGGGGCCAGGGAGATGGCTCAGTGAAATAAGTGTTTCCCTGGCAAGTGCAAGGGTCTGAGTTTAATCCCCGGTTCCGCAAAAAAAAAAAAAAAAAAAAAAAAAAATTATCCTATAATATCAGAAACTGGTGGCTCAGGACTGTCCTCATGTCACCTTTCTAGCCCTTCCAATGGCAGAGAAAGAGGCCTCTACCAGCCTGCCACACAGGGTAGCAGACAGGTGCACAAGTGCTGTGTCAGCCACCGGGGCTTCACCTCTGTACACTTCATACTGTGCCAGGTAATGCGTCTGGGCAGAGAGGCTCAGTAATCTGGGTCTGGCCCAAGTCCTCCTGGTGTCTGTCCCATTGTCCACACCAAGAATGGGACCTGGCTCCATGGCCTCTCTTTTAAAAGAGCCCACACCTGTGTCTGGGTAAAAACACATCTTTTGAGGCTTATGAGGGGGCACCCAAGTCCCTCAGCTTGGGTCCATCCTGACACCAGCAGTGATCTCCCCAAACCACCCAGATGCCTCCATCCACAGATGCCGCTGTTTCACAGACCAGCTCTCCTCTTCCAGTTGTAACACTGCTACCTCCGAAGGCTTTCAGAGATGCCAGCTGAGCTGCCCCAGCTACCCTGCCCACAGAGCCTACTATTAAAAAGTCCAGGGGCGGGGGCTGGGGAGATGGCTCAGTGGAATAAGCGCTTCCCTGGCAAGCACAAGGGCCTGAGTTCAATCGCCAGTTCTGCAAAACAAAAACAAAGTCCAGGGGGCCTTCCCATTACCTCAGGTGTTTAAGTGCCTGATAAAACAAAGCAGTCAGGCTCAGGATGCTGTGGTTCATCCCCTCATCCTCAAGCCAAACCAGACCTACCCTGAAGGCATCCTGAGCAGCAACCCCCCAAAAAAGTCCAGATTATTTAGGATCCTAAAGAACAGGGCTGTAGCTGAGCATGATGGTGCACCCCTGTAATCCGAGTTCTGGGAGGCTGAGGGAAGAGCATCTCAAGTTTCAGCATGGCCTGGGCAATTTAGCGAGACTCTGTCCCAAACTAAAACTAAAAAATGCTGGAGGTGCAATTCACATTAAGGCCCTAGGTTTAATTCCCAGTGCTACAAAACAAAGATCCCCAAGTCTTTGTCCACACACTGTGCCTTCTTCCACTATGTCTGGTCTAGCAAGGTGCCAAGGAGATATCTTGGGGCCTGGGTCTTCATGACACTGACTCACTAGAGCCAGTCTTGGTGACCTGGCCATACTGAGCATGCTGCCACCAGCAGATAAGCATGAGCAAGTGATCTGGGGAGTATGGGAGGGGCCAGGAAAGCCCAGGGACAGGGAGCAGCCACTTCGCTCCATCACTCTGAAGGGCCTCTTGAAGTAGAGGAGTCAGCAAAGCAACTGAGGCCTGCTGTGTGAAGAGGTAGAGGTTTATTGAAATATAAACATTCAGAACATGTAAGATAGAAAAGAACCACGACATATACAGACACTTGCTGCAAGGACGTCTGAGGTATGTACTCACTGCCTAGGCTACCTGTGTGCTACCACACTGTTGTTGGAATTACAAAGAGCATGGGATAGGAGACAGAACATCCCCAGGGATGCTCCACCTGAGCCAGGCCCATGCTGGGGCACTGAGAAGCACTCAGGGAGAGCGCAGGTAAGTAGCTAGGGAAGGAGAAGGGGAATGTCTATGATCAGACCCAGTGCACATCCCAGCATCCTCTGGGTGAGGAGAATCCATCCTTTGTGACCAAACCCTGAGAACTACACTCTGGCCAAGTGTCTGACATACTCCAGGGGGAGGCGGGGTAGCACTGGCCACCAGACCTCCACACCAGCACCAGAGCCTCATCTCTTCCTTACCACAGCCTGCCTGTGCTAGGAGGCCAAGGTTTCTGCAGGCAGAGGAGGTCAGCATGCAGTGGGTAGGGGCGTGGGCTGTGTGTGCAGGCACAAGTGTGAAGAGGGCCAGGGCAGGGATGAGGCGCAGGCCGGGAAAGTGACTCGCCAGGCTGAGGTATGTCTGTGCACAAGCTTCTAGTTTCCCTTTCTCTTCCTGGATGAGACTGTGTAGGGCCCTGAGCCCAGAAAACACAGTGGTGGCATTCTGAACACTGAAAGTGCCCAGCCAAAGTTGCCTGTGCAAGCAGCACCCTGTCAATTGCAGGGGTAGCCTACACCAGCCCCAGCATATCCCATTCTCACTCCCTGACCATGGGCTCCAGCAGGCAGCAGGGCCCACAGCACACATGGCAGGGCAGGGGCAGTGGCATGGTCAATGATGTTCTGGGACAGGTGCAGTTTCTGGCCCTGTGGGCAAGTGCAGGCCTCTGTCCCACCCTACCACCTTGGGGATCCCTGAGTCACTCTGCCTGCTCCTACCTTCCAGGGGGGAAGGGCAGGGCCAAGGGGCTGGCCACCAACTGCACCTGGCTGAGGTGATCTGCTCTCATTTCTTATTTCTTTGGTGCTACAACAACAGCAACAACAAAAATTTAAAAATAAAAAACAAAAGTCTGCAAAACACATATAAAAAAGATTTCAGAGATGCAAATACTTCCTGAAGACTCAAACATCAACAATTACAAATCTGAGGTATTTCAATGACCTGATATCGGCACATCTGGGGCTGGTGGGGCGGAGATGGCCCCCAGAGATGGCAACAAGACAGGGACAAGGGAGGTACGGTGGGAGAGTGGCCAACAAGGGCAACTGGGGAGCCTGAGGTAAGGGTGGGTTGCATGGGGGCTTACAAACTAGCTACTGGGGCCCAGGCGGCCTAAGCCCTCCTCCTGGGAGATGCTCAGAGGCCTGGGGCTGAAGCCTGCCCTCACATGCTTTCACATTTCCCCCACTGGAGTGGGCCTGAGGGCGTCATGGGGCCCCAAGGTCTGATGTCAGGCTTGGAGGGACTCACGCTCTGAGAACCAAGACCGGACAGGTGGGCTGGGAGGGCCAGGCCTATACTCAGCAGCTGAGAGCCACAAAGGCAGGCACTTGGTCCCAGCAGCCACATAAGATTTAAAAATGGCAGGGAGAGGCGCAGACAGAGGATAAGACCATGACCCTGGGGTGATGCAGAAAGCACAGGAAGGGAAATAAATTAAGGGGGAAGGAAGTGGAGGTGTCCAGCCCTGTGTCGGCTTACAGATTGTCGATACACTGTGCCCCGGGGTAGAAGGTGGGCAGGGACCCTGAAGGAAGTGGGGCACCCAGACCCCTGCCCAGGCCTCCAGGAAGATCCCTGATTGGACAACGCTGCCCAGTCCTGCCCCGCCCACCTCTCCCTGCCCCCAGACGACAGCAGGACCTGAATGGAGCCTGGACAGATGGACACACCCAGTCCCTGAACATTGGGCTCCATAAGACGAGGTAAATTCTATGTGGCAGCTTCCACCACTTCTGGCTTGGAAGGCAGGGCAAGGGCAGCCGGGTGCTGCCGTCAGAGGGACCAGCTGGTAGAGGGCTCCGCACTGGGGGTGCCCCTGGACGAGGTAGGGCTCTGTGAGCAGTGAGAGCCGCCACTGCTACTGCTGCCACCGGAGGTGCTGCCGACGACACTCTGGGCAGCAGGGCCTGTGATGAGGTGGACCACAGGTTTCTGGGCAAACAGCACGCCTGGGGGAACAGATGCAGCTCCATCACCAAGTGTCCACTGCAGGCCTCCCCTGCATCCCTTGTGCAGGGCACTGGGTGGGATGCAGACAGAGGCCCTTGTGCTCTCCACTGAGCTGACCAGGGCATAAACTGTCCATGTGACAAATGCCCAGACTAGTGTGGTAGGGTGCTACAGGAGCACAGAGGGGTCCTAGAGGCAGGGCGGGTTCTCGGGTTGGAAAGAGGCAGCAGTGGATGGATATAGAAGGTTCCCAAGGAGAGAAGATACAAAGGTCTGGTGCCCAGCTTCTGCAGGAATCCTACAGGATGCTGCTGCAGGGAGTACAGCCCCCAGCCCCCACAATGGACGCATTTAAATGGACAGGTACAGGCCTGAAGAAACGTTCCATTTTTAAAGAAGGTATGGCTGCAGACCTTCACATGCCCTGCACTACTGCCTCTCCAGGGCTGGTGACACTCCACACCCTCAGAAAAACAGGCAGGTGATATCTGGCTCTCTACTCATTTAAGATTCAGATAAGCTGTCCTCATGTCCAGCCCTAACCAGTGAAACAGCAGGAGGAAATGACTGCTGTTTCTGTAAGTACTGAGTCAAATGCCCTTGTGAGACTTGGTGAAGGTGCTAAATCAAGTAGCCAAACAGGTTGATCCAGCAGCAATCACTCTGCTGCTGGAGTCTCAGTCCTTATCACACTTTAAAGCCAGAAAATGACAGATAGTCACTATGAATGTTTTATGGTCAGAAAGGAGACCAAGCATGGCAGACTGACTTATTGCACGGTGTCTAAGGGCATGGATACAACACTGACTAGGAATCCTGGCACTGCTGAAAACGGTTATAGGAAGGGTTTCTATCAGTGTAGATGGGATCCTGTCTTCCTGCTAACAATCTGAAGGAAGTATCTCAAGTGCATTTGGGCATGAGGGTGGTGGTAGGGCCACTGAAGGATGGCAGTCACTGCCCAGGGCCTACCTGCATAGGTGGTGCCATCGATGTCCACAGACATGTTAATGCTCCCAATGGTGCTTGGTGTCAGGTTCAGTGCAGCAGCCGAGGCCTCTCCTCTGTCTTCTGGTGGGGCAGGGAGAAAGTGACCAAGTCAGGATTCCCACTGTCCTCTGGTGCTGTTACAGAGCACCCACATGACCACCTCCTGAGTTCAGGGCTGGCAGAAACCTAGACTAAACAAATTCCCAAAGCCTTCTTCTCACACTGAGCAGGCTGACCCGGCCCAACTGCAGGCACCAGCCCTGTCAATCAGGCTCACAAACCCTAACCAGGTCCACTACACATCAGCCTGGAAGCCAGGGAGCAACAGGCCCATCCCTGACTTTGGGGATGTACCCTGCATTATTATTCCTTAGAGAGGGGGGCCTTGCCCCCAAGCACCTGGCCCCCCACACCCACCTGACTGGGTGGTACATGGTACCTCTACCAGACTCTGCCTTTTTACAACAGAGAGCCAAGGCTTCTTCCAACTGAGCAACCTTTCTCTTAGCCTGGCTTTGTGCAGGGCCAGGACACCTGTCCCATCCCTGACTGGATAAGCAGGGCTGAACATGGCTGCTTCCTTCATACCCGCCTCTTGTAGCATTACTCTCTCAGCTTTGTAAAAATGGCAAAGGGCTGGTGTGTGAGGTGGAAGCACAGGAAGAATAAAGGAAATGCCCTGGGCCAATTTCCAAAGAGAAGTAGGCACTTGAAATATGTGGAGGGGAAACAGAAAAAAATGTCAGTTATGATGCCAAATGTATCTCCTACAACATATGTTCCCAAAAGCCCCAGGTACCTTGCTGAGCCTCATGATGACAGGGTGTCATCTTCCTGGATCCAATAACTGTACCCTGCCTGTGTTGGTCTGTATCCAATGAGGGACTGCCAAGCCCTTTAGACAGCTTAAAAGGCTGCTGAGGAGGGAGCACAGCCTCTGCCCCTGACACATACACACATAACACACACACACACATCCCTGCCTGGTGAGCAGATCCCATCAGCCTGAGAACCCACATGGCTCTCAGGGTCAGCAGTGTGCACCTTGCCCACCCTGCCCCAGGAGTGGAGCTGGGGTTGCAGTGGCACACGCACCCCTGCCATTGATGCGGATCTTCACGGGCAGCTGCCGTGCCATGCTAAAGAGGTTACGCTGGAAAGCCTGCTGTACGAGGCGTTGTTCCTCCTCGGATAGCCTTGCTGCCTTCTTCTCAGCTGGCTCCCCTGACTCTAGACGCTCCCGTAGCTGTTCCAGTGCAGCCACCCGACTCCCTGCCTGTGGTCCTGCCAGAGCCATGGGCATGGCCAGGCGATTTGGCACAGGCACCGTGGCTGCAGGGACCCCGTCACCTGCAAAGGAACTGAAGCTGACCCATACTCACCCATGCCACTCATAGCCCCATCTTGGACATAGGGGTACAGGGCTATCCCCCTTCCCCAAGGGCTCGCTGACCTTTCCTGAGAGTGGCTGCTGGGGATAGCCGAGGACCACTGGCACTGGTACTGCTGCTGGAGCCAAGTCCCAGGACTGGGAAGCGGATCTTGGGTGGTGAAAGAAGGGCAGAGGCCCCAGCAGTAGCAGTGGCAGCGGCAGGTGAGTAGCCAAAGAGGGAGGAGCTGTAGCTGGGCCGGCGGCCCTCCCTGCGGTTGCCATCAATGGCAGCCTGAAGCTCAGCTGGGGAGCTCAAGGCCTTCTTCTCACACTCATAGGCATAGAGATACTTCATATACCTGCAGGGAAGGAAGAAGCAAGGAGAACCACCCCAAACCAACGGCATACACTGCCCAGGCTCCTCCTACTCCTTTCTACCTGCAACACTGCTCAAATCATAAGTGCTGTTCATTAGGGGTAATAAGCAATAGCTAACATTAGCATATTTACTTTGGTGCACTGAGAGATATGAATCCCAAGCTTTCCTGGCCTCTTGTCCCAGGAGTTCTTTATTTTGTATCATATGCCCCAAGAAGTCTCTCCAAGAAGCTCATTACTCTGGTTACAGCTATCTCTAATCTCTAATGTCTACTGGAAAGTTCTAATAGGTAAAACCCTTCTCTGTTCAATAAGGCCATGCCACACTAACTGACTGATCTGTCAGCTATTCATTCCCTGTGTTTCAAATCAAGCGATTCTTCTCTGGCTCTTATTTTCTACTGCTACTCTTGGTTTAGGCCAACCCCATAGGGACTACGTACAGGCTGGGTGTCTGGTGAGGTGGCACCTGGAACAGAAGTGTTCCTTGGTAGTGATGCCAGAGAATATGTGGATACATAGGAGCCCAGGAGGCCAGGTTTGAACCTCAGCCTGATCATGTAGGGGCTAGGATGACCTTGGTCAGCTTGTTTAATCTCAGAGAATTAGTTTTGGTAATCTGAAAAATGGTGCAATGTATCTTTTTTTTTTTTTTTTTTTGGCAGAACCAGGGATTGAACTCAGGCCCTTGTGCTTGCCAGGAAAGCGCTTATTCCACTGAGCCATCTCCCTGGCCCTGCAATGTATCTTTCAGAACCAATGTTTAAGGAAAACAGAAAGGTAAAGAACCAGCACACAAGAGATTCCTGGTCAAGAGTGACTATTACCAGGTCTAGCAAAGCAGTTATTTCTTGAACACCCTACTGGCTCAGGAATTCACTCCTCTGGCTTACTGTACACTGGAATTTCCTTCCTTCCTTCCTATCTCAGGCTGAACCCGTTCACCAGCTTCTGTGGCTTCCTTCCCCAGCCTTGGCTACTCACTGGGTCCTGAGGGTGAAGGCGGCGCTGGTGATGGAGGTGGGCAGGTTCAAGCCTTTGGTGATCTCCCTCCAGATCTTCTTGTTGATGATCTCCACCAGACCTCCCTTTTCTGTCACCAGCTTGTACAGCATGTACAGGTCCAGGATCTGCTTGGCCATGATGGGGATCCGATTGATGGGGGTACCTGTGATTGTCCAATGAGAAGAGGAGGGGCGCATAAGACGTCCAAGCACGTTTACCATTACCTGAATGGGAAATGGTATTTATGCATCTGCTTAGAAGTGGGATTCAACTCAAATTCATCAAGTCTGGAAACTGACTACTGTCAGTTCTTTTCATCGAGAAAGATAGGGTCTTCCCAGGCTGTGTGACCTTTGATAAAATGTTCAGCCTCTCTGATCTGTTTTTCTAAACACAAGGGCCAGATGAGATGAATTCCAAGTGCTTTATGTTTTTGTTGGCTGTACATGTTGGGATTTTCCTTGCCTTCTTGGTCAGGGAGCTCCCAGTATCCGTGGTGCACTGTGTGCCTTTGCCTATGGCCTGCCCTGTCCTCTCCTGCTGCAGGACAAAGACTTGGCTCCCTTCTCTGTGTGCCTCACCATGTCAATAGATGCCGGACACACTGGTCTCAGGGGAATGCGGAACCACTCAACACTGCTCTCCCCACTAATCACTAATCACCCATTCCCTCCCCACCCCCAGAAAGAGGGTGGGTCAGAGCAGCTTCCGCCTACTGGTTCCCGAGGGGAAGTGAGAGGAGCCAGGGACTTGATTAGGAAACCTGGCACCAGGCAGGAAGGGCTACTAATGAGCACCAAGGGATGCAGTGAGGGCCGGGCCAGGTCCTTTCACAGTGGCTGGGATGCTCGTCAGGAGGCGTGATGGATGACTGTCATTTGGCAGCTGCGGGATTAATGATCCAGAGGTCAGAGGGGAGAATTCCACAGGGAGGGGTCACCATCCAGGGCAGGGTATGAGACTTGTTGCCTTTTGATGGCCAGCTTCTTTTACTGTACACAAGCTGCTGCTCCTGCCCTCCCTCTCTCCCCTGCCCCCAACAGGCTGAGGTCCCACTGAACTGCCTGGTGGTGGTGAGCCTGTTTGGCTTGTGGTCCTCCAGCTTTCTCTCCTCTAAAGCATGCATTTTCTTTCCCACCTGAAACAGCCTGCCTGCCTGGCCCACTCTCAAAAGACCACTCAGTCACAGGAAGAAGCAAAGGGCCAGCCTGTGTGTACAGACACAGGGGATACTATGGCAGGACAGTGCCTCTTTTCTAAGATGGGGAGAGAATCACCATGCTTGAGAACTTTTTTCTTGACCCACTAGTGGACCTAACCACAGAGAAAAAGTCTGAGGTGCTGAGCTTGGCCAATGGTAGGCACCACTTCCTTTTGAAGGCCTGTGTGCTAGACACACATCCAGCTGTGCTGACCCCACATCTCCATGGCATCACTTGGAGGGCTGGGAGGATGTGCCAAGGTTCCATCAGCTCAGCACTACCTGGCTTCTCCTGCATCTGCACACGTGTGCTGTTCACTAGAACTGGATATGCACATGCTGACCTTGCCTCCATTCCCACCTTTCTCCATCATTTTCACTGTCCCCCAGTGACTAGGCTCTGCTTCTGTCCTCTGGCCCCCAGTCCCAGGTGCTTAGGGCTTCACTGATTCTCCCTGGGAGATCTTAAGGGCAATGTCCTTCCTAGATCACCACCAGGCCAGGCCCTTAGTGGTTACTGGTTTATTAGATGTGAGGCGTGGCTTCTAGCCACACGCTTGCCTCACATATCACTGCCACTATCATATTAAAATACCACATCAAGGGCTGGTGAGACAGTTCAGCAGATTAAGCGCTTGCTTAGCTAATAACCATAGGCCAGGGCTTGATCCCTGGCACCGCCTGCAGCACTGGACCCAGCCCTGTGAGCACTGAGCTGGCAATGGAGTCCATTTGGGCGTAGTGGCACACGACTGTAATCCCAGCACTTAGGAAGGCAGAAAACAGGATGATCACTATGAGTCTGAGCTGCGTAGTCAGACCCTACACACACACACACACACACACACACACACACACACACACAAATGCTGCTTTAACCACATCACCCACTTTCTGTTTAAAAGCCTCTAATGATACTCACTGGTCACCACCCACCCTACACATCCAGTCACAGGACCCATGTCCCCCATGCTGCTCACCACGCATGAAGCACTTGAACACATCCCAACAACTCCTATCACTGCATTCTTACCAACCCCTCCCACCATGTTTGCTCTGCCTCTGGGACCTGGCCGCTGCTTGGGCTGGAAACCACGTGCCTCTACTCAAATGCCCCACTCTCCTTCCTTCTCCACTCTCCAGGGAGAACTCTCTGACTAACCCAGTTTTCTCCCTCTTAGAATTTTTAAGGTTCACCAACAAGTGCAACAAATATTTCCACTTCAGTGTTTCCTGTATGTCCATGTGGCAGCCCAGGAGGAAGGTCAGCTCTGTGAGGCAGGGTCTGTCTGTTCTTTACCAGCCTCCAATATTATGGTGTCTAATAGGAAGCATGTCTCCATGCAGATGAAAAACCACACTTCTCAGAGTGAAAGTGCTGATGCCAAGGAAGCCCGCCTGGGAACCTTGCTCACAATACCCATGTCAGGTCCCCTCTCAGGTTGCAGGGTGACAATCACCATTAAGCAGCTGGGGGAGCTTAGACCCACTGTTTTCAAGCTATTTGCTTTCAAGTCCCATAGCAATAAGCCAACAGCAGGAGAACAGATAGGTTTGGGATTTTGAGAAAGTTAAGGATCTAGGACTTCATAAAACAGAGCCTCAGAGAAGGAAGGCAACTGGCAGTGTGGAGGTGGACAAATGTGAGCACCTAGGACAGCTGTGGCACAGCAGGGCTTGCCTAGCTGAATGAGAGCAGTGCTTAGGGAGGTCACCTTGCACAGCCAGAAACCACATGGCTCCAGAACTACACCTGTGGCAGCTTTCAGGTTGCACTGTTTCCTGCTCATCTCTTCAGGGCAATAAATCTTCAGACACAGATAACGCATTATACTTCTGGAAACAGCCATCATTCATCAAAAGGCAGCCAGCAAACAGGAGAGGGGCAGGCTGCATACACCACAGTAGATTTCCAGAGTGCATGTCCACCATGAGCTGTCACTACACAAACCATCTAGCCATTTGAGATGGTGGCTTTGAAGGGTGACACTGTTACCAATGCATAAATTTTATTATGTCAGCCTTAACAGCCACAGTGATTGAGAAGCCTGAGAAATGCCTAGAGAAGGGAAACAAGGGTGGGCGAGGAAGAGAGGTCTAAGTGGTATTTGAGGTCAAGGCTGTCACCTAGCAGTAGGTGGCCTATCTGCAGCACCTGAGAGGTAGAGCAGTAACTTCTGGGAACTCCCAAATGAGCCAGATCACAGGATGGTTGGTGGCACTCTGAATGCTCCACAGTCCTGCTTTCCTATAACCTAAGGTGCATCCCCCCTGCACGGGGCCCCCTATCAGACAACCTGGTTCTGGAGATTAAAATCAGGGAGTGACCACTCCTATGTTCCATAGGACCTTTAGGTAAGTGTGTGTAGCTGGATGCTGCAGATACAAACACCTGCTTGGCTTCAATTCTGACCAATGAGAAAGACAACTGCAACCTAGGCAGTTAATTTTATGCTGGTGGCCCTGGAAGCCATCACATTTGTCTAAATGAGACTCTACCATGAAGAAAGATGGAAACATCTTTAAGTTGAGGTTGCCAATACATTCTACTAGGGGGTGGACAGGGGGACCAACACTTCCAGCTTGTTTCTGTATCAGTGAAATGAGAAATTTGCACTAAACAACTTTCAGTTTTCAAGTGTAGTCCATGAATGAAAAATCAAAACAAACAGCCTGCCTGCCTGACAAAGTGAGCTCAAGACCAGCCTGAACTGCATAGTGCGACCCTGTCTCAAAAAGATAACACACACACACACACACACACATACACACACACACACACACGATTATTCCCAAAGTGAGAAAGACTTGGTGTATGGAGCTTGCCTGAATTGAGGCTCTTGTCACAAGCAATTTGGGCACTTTTCCAGGGAAGGCCCCCTAAAGTGCTTAAGATGAGGTCAGTGAAGTTCAAGTCCAGAAGCAATGGTTCTTTCCAGCCCTTCAGAGATGGGATGGGATGGGACTCTGCTCTCTAAGCAAAACTATGGCCTTCTCTGGGCAGCTCCACAGCCACAGTGGCAATCCCATGCATACAATCTATGCAAAAGCTGCCTGCAGTACAGCTGGTCACCCACTGGAGAGAGCTCTGTGGGTCACTGGTGTGGCCCTGCAGAAGGCTGTGTATCTTTACCTTGGCAAGCCTGGGGGGGAACTTGGTGGGGAAGCCTGCAGACTGTCAGTCACTGCTATCAAAGCAGGAGCTAGGATTGAGGGTAATTAATCATGTTCTCCCTGACAGGAACCCAGGGCCTTATCTGCACCCCAAGAAATGCCGCTGGTCTCCAGTTCCCTCCTCAATAAAAGAGATTGACAGTTGCAACAAAGAGGCCCCTTATCAGATTTCAGCCAGGGAGCCCGAGACAGCCCCAGGGACGGAAGTCAAAAGCTTTTATGAGGTCCCAGGACCTAGCAAGGCCTCCAGGATGCTGGGCTTTAACCCCTGTTGGTGGATATGGGCACTGACAGGCCAAACTGCCCTCAGGAGCTTCCAGTGCAGATACGGCAGAACACCAGCTGCTTCCTGGCACCCTGTCTTCCTGCTTTCCATTCAAGATAATATAGCTGTGAATGGGGGTGGGGATGAAGGCAATAGGAAAGGGGGCTGCCTCTGGTTTGAGACACAGTTGGGAGGTGGCAAGAGTGCTGAAGGGCAAGCCACTTCCTTTCCATTGCAGAGAATGGGCATGTTCCAGGGAAGGCGAGGAGCAATTAGGGGCAGGGCCCCAAGCAGCTCATGAAGGCTGTTTTCCTGCCTACTAGACAGGGGTGAGGGCCCAGGACACCCTGACAAGCACCCTCACTGCTTTTTCCTGACTTTGAAAAAGGTGATTAATCATGTGCATAGCCTGACTGTCAAAAAAGCTGCGCAGGGAGCTTAGGAGAATTCAGGTCCATGATAGACACGCTAGGACAGCCCACTGATGTTTCTGCAGATTCATTTTTACCCTGCTCTGATTCTG